GCAGTATAGTGAAAATAATGAACGATTGAACAAAAGAACATAAAGCCTTAACATTCCGCCCCTCTTGAAAGGACATCTTTCAATTAAACTGTATGTCACTTTGACAATATTACTATTGACTACAAATAAAGTTACTTAATGATGAATAATGAATTATACAACTTAAAACTAACAACTTTAACTGAATAACTGAGTCTTATTATAATCTACAAACTTGCATGCTAGAGTCTCTAGTTTTTACAGGGAAGGGCACATATCTTCTTAACGGCGCGCTTGTAACTTCCCGTGGACGTCCGTACTGTTACTACTCTTATGACTTTGTCATCTCCTGGATGCAACGCTTCTATCCGTCCTAATTTCCATTGCAGCGGAGGCAGGTTGTCCTCGATCAAAAGAACCAAGTCTCCAACCCATACCACGTCGTCACCCTCTTTCCATTTGGTTCTGGCTTGTAGTTGCTGCAAGTATTCCTTCTGCCATCGTTGCCAGTAATGCTGGCGTAACTTTTGAATATGTTGCCATCGAGATAAATGCGTATCCTTGATATTCAATAAATCTTTTTCAACGGGCATTATTAAGGCGTCTCCAATAAGGAAATAGGCTGGTGTGAGGGGCGCCAAGTCATTGGGATCTGATGATAGAGCTGTCAGTGGCCTACTATTTAAAATGCCTTCAATTTCGACCAGTAGAGTGTAATATTCCTTAAAGGTATAGATCAAATCCTTCATAGTGATTCGTAAATGTCGTTTGACGCTTTTAACGGCAGCCTCCCAAAGTCCTCCGAAATGTGGCAATCGGGGAGATATAAAGTGCCACTTTATATTCTGCGTTGCCAATCTTGTTGCGATGCAAGACTCCTGCATCTTGAGAAACTCATAGATTTCTTTAAGCTCGTTTGCAGCACCTACCAGATTAGTGCCATTATCCGAGTACACGTGAGCGCACGTTCCCCTTCTTGCACAAAAGCGTCGAAAGGCTGACATGAAGTCCTCAGTTGATAGGCTGCTAACTAATTCAAGATGTACGGCTTTCGTTTTAAAGCAAACGAAAACTGCTACGTAGGCTTTGCTGATAGGAAGGTTACCTCTTCTCTTGCTTTCTCGAAGGCTAAATGGACCTGCGCAGTCAATCCCGCAGACGCTAAATGGTCTGATATCAGTGGTAACCCTAAATGCTGGTAAATCTGCCATCTTCAATTTGGGAATGCTTGGTTGCTATCTAAAGCACGATATACATCGTCTTACAATCTTTCTAGCTTCTCGTCTTCCTGAAAGAGGCCAATATCGCGTCCTGATGTCTGCTAACAGCTGCTGAGACCCACAGTGGTGTAATTTGATATGCTCTTGTCTTAATAAGATTTCCGTGATGTGATGTCTTGCTGGCAGAACAATCGGATGTCTCTGATTGTATGGAATGTCTGCGTGTTTTAATCTGCCCCCTACTCTGATAACTCCTTCTTCATCCAAAAAGGGGTTGAGTGCAGCTAATTGACTATTAGCAGGTACTTCTTTTCCTTGCTGTAATGAACATGATTCTCGCGGAAACCGTTCCGCTTGCACCATGCGGCTGATAATTAGTTCTGCTCTTTTAAGTTCCTCGGGGTTTAAAGCGTTAAAATGGCGTTGACTTGATAGAATATCCCTGAATCGTAGACAATATGCTATAATTCTCTTGAGCTTGTTGAAGGAAGAATATCTCTGAAGAATATCCTGTCGAGGCTCTGTTGCTACAAATACATTTTCTTCCCGTAGTTCTAAATTAGCCATTGGTACATTTGCGGTTGTCTTAGGCCATTGATCCTCGTGTGTGAGCCATGTAGGGCCATTCCACCACAAACTACTTGATTTCAGCTGATTGACTGTACTTCCCCTTGACAGTATGTCGGCAGGGTTCTGGGTTGAAGGCACATGATGCCACTTGGCTTCTGGTACAAGCTCATGTATTTCTATGACTCGATTTGCGTAATATGACTTTAATTTGTGAGGAAGTGTATCTAACCAACAGAGTACTATAGTGGAGTCACTCCACAGATGGACATCTTTTATTGGATGCTTCATAGCTTTTATTACGGCTGCTAGCAATCGAGCTAGTATAAGTGCTGCACATAGTTCTAGTTTAGATAGCGAGATCGTTTTTAGAGGTGCTACCTTTGCTTTGGAACACACGAGGTATGATTTGCGTTCCCCTTGCTTCGATTCATAGACGCAGTAGATACTAGCGTCATACGCCTTTTCCGAGGCGTCTCCAAACCCATGGAGCGTGAATGATTGCTTGCTATTTTGTGGGTTGAAGTTTCTGGATATCCGGATCTGGTTAAGCGCTTCAAGTGAAGTATAATAATTAAACCATATTTCGTAAAAAGCTGGTGAAACCGGATCATCCCAGCCTACATCTAGTTTCCATAAATTTTGCATAATTATTTTGGCTACGATCAGCACAGGCCCTATTAACCCTAATGGGTCGTATATCCTCGCAATTTGCGACAGAATACTGCGTTTCGTATTTTGATTGCTGTCCGTCAGACTTATTGAATATTGTAGCTGATCTTTGGATGAGTCCCATAGCAAACCTAGCGTCTTCGAAGGAACTGCATCATCTAAAACCAATAGGGAATCTTCTTCGATCTCTTGAGAGAGACCTTGTAATATTCTTGTATCACTTGCTCTCCATTTCCTGAGAGGAAATCCTGCTGCTTCAAGTAGTTCTGATAACTCACTCCTTAATTTGATTGCTTGTTTTAATGTGTGGCTATCTGTTAACACGTCGTCCATATGAAAGTCTTGAAGTAATGCTGCTGCTGTCTTTCGTGTCATTGCTTCCGATTGCGTTGCTAGATGTCTTAAACAACGCATGGCTAAAAATGGTGCACATGTAGTTCCATATGTCACGGTATTCAATGAGTATACCTGAATCGGTTCCGTGGAGTCGTATCTCCAAATAATCCTCTGAAGATCTCTATCTTCTTCGGCTATCCAGATTTGTCTGAACATCATTTTAATATCTGCCGTCATCACATACTGATGCGCTCTGAATCTAATCATAATTTCCCATAAATCTCTCTGAAGGTTGGCTCCGCTTAACAATTTCTGATTTAAAGATGTACCTGTTGATGACTTCGAAGATCCATCGAAAACTACACGTAGTTTTGTCGTTATGCTTGTTGTCTTGATCACTGGTTGATGTGGGAGATAATAGTACTCCTTTTCCGGCATGGAACACGGTTGTTGGACTATGGACATATGTCCTAATTCTTCATACTCCTTTACAAATTTATGATAGTCTGCTTTCAATTTCGATTGCTGATTTAGTTTTCTTTCTATCGCTAAGAATCTTTTGATTGCTATGTTCTCCGAATCGTCTAGCTTGATGGATTCGTCTCTTGGCATACGCACGATGTATCTGCCATCTTGATCTCTTCGCACGGTATGCAAGAATAGATCTTCTGCTAATTGCTCCTGTGGTGTATACGAATTCTCTCGTAACTGAATCGGGGATTCCTCAATGTTCCAGAACCTTTGTAACTGCTCGTTTAGATTTATAGCTGCTATATTACAAACTCGTTTGTTGTTCAATACTCTTGGATTTATTAGTTCACCTCCTACTATCCAACCTAGCTCTCTTGTAGCCTAGACAAAGAATCGTTTAATTCCCTTTGTCCGGCGCGCATTAATGTCCAAAAGTGACTGCTTCCTAGAAGAATGTCTATTGTTCCTGGCAAATTAAAACTTGGATCTGCTAAATTCAATTCTTTTGGAATATCCCAGTTATGCGTATTAACCTTGATGTGTGGTAACTTTTCCGTTATGGTTGGCATTATTAAAGAATCTAATTCTGCCGAAAACTCACTATGCATCGACTTGATTCGTATGCTAGTTGATTCTTTCGCTGTAATTTGCGTTTGACTTATACCGCTAATTGGCACATCAACTCTGTTTCCCTTTAACTTCAATTTTCTTGCTAAGTCCTTGGTGATGATATTACTTTGTGAACCTGAATCCAGTATGGCTCGACAGACTCTCCAATTTTCTTCATAATTCATAACATATATTTTAGCTATGAAAACTATAGATTCTGTAAGTCGCGTTGTATGTACTATCACTGCTGCTTCTTTACCCGATGCCTCTGGATTAGCTCTTAATTCCTTTGAAAAACCTGCTGTGCTGGATTCGTCTCTGCTGTTCATCACTGTTGTGGTCTTGTTTTCTATCTGCTCTCCTTGATTCATATGCAAAATCGTGTTATGCTTTTTTGAACATACCTTGCAGGTGCTATACACGCTTGAATATAATGACCTTTACGCAAACAATTAAAACATAACTGTCGCTTTTTTACTTCTTCCCTCTTTTCTGAAACTGATAACTTCTGAAACTTCTCACATTTTGATACATGATGTTGACCTTCGCAAAATACGCATGATTGTGGTGTAGCTGCCACGTTTACCTTTTTGCCTGCCTTTTTGAGCGCTGTATACTTCGCATGCTCTTGCTTGTTCTTTGATCCTTCTATTAATTCCAATGTGTGAGCTCTAGTTGTTAAAAATTCTAACAACGCCTCTAGAGATGGCATGTTGTCTGCATCTCTCTTGCCTATTTCTAATTCCCAATTCTTTCTTATTGTGTAATCCAGCTTGTCACTCAGCAAATAAATGAAAATGGTATCCCAATGTGCTATAGGCTGCTTCAGTGCTTCTAATGCCCTGACATGAGTTCGGATAGAATCTATGAAAGTTCTCAACGCTGCATGACTACTCTTGCTTACAGCCTGCAATTCGAAAAGCTCTTTTATATGTGTATTAATAATTAACTTTTTGTTTTCATATCTTTCTTTGATCAGTCGCCATGCTATTTCGTAATTCTCTGCTGTTGTCTCTAAGGTATGTATTACCTGCAAAGCCTCTCCTGTTAAGGAGCTACGGAGATATTGAAACTTTTGAATGCCTGTCAATCTAACATTTGAATCTATAACCGACGTGAAAGTATCTTTATACATTAATCACTGGTCGTAACTGCCATTGAATTTTGGAAGTTGAAGCGTAGGTAATTTTACAGTGAGATTGTTTACCTGCTGTTCCTGTTGATGAACTACAACATTTATTTGTTCCGCTTCTACCAACTGCTTCGCTATTGCTAAGTATTCAAAATAAGTATCCTCAACTGACTGCCTCTCTCGCGTTATCTCTGCGTCTAACGCCTGCATTTCTTCCTGGGACGGCGGCGGGTTTTTTCCTACACTGCTTTTACTTCTGCAATTTGCGATTGAACCTCATTGTACGTACTGTATAGCTCTTCTGCTCGTCTAATCCTGTCTGGTAACTGCTTTTTGCGCTCTCCTCCATGATCCCTCACGAACTTAACAAACTGCGTGAGTTGTCCTTTCACATTTGTTCTTTTCGCTCTTAACTTGGTAAGATTCTTCATGCTCTCTATATATTGCTTAAATATGCGTGAATATGCTACGGACGTTTGCCTTGTGAACGACCGGCCAAACTAACCTCTATTATCGTTGCAACACAAGTACCGCGTTTCTGCTTATTTGTCGTAATTCTTCGATAGTCCGATTAATTGACTACCGATCCGGCTCGAAGGACCAAAACTATGTTAGGGACTCTATAGAGAAATCCCTTTGCTATAAATGCTTTTATTCCACTAAATTAAATGCTTACAAAACGTCTTTTTGATTGCTTACAATAACGAACGAAAAAACATGAATGATAACACATA